GGTCTGAGATTATTGAGGTCGGTAGGGTCCATTGAGGGTTTTTTGGGTATTGGGGTGCATGAAACAGGGCGGAGGCAGAGTGCTTGTAGCTACCATACACCATCTTTTACCCAGGCATCCACAAAGACCGCAGACATCCCGCCATCTTGGATAGTGGAGGCATCCCACCATGCAGAAGAGGACTTGTCTGCAGGTTCGGAAGATTTGAAGGCCCAGGGTTTATGGTTGGACTGAGCTCCTCCCTTAAGCTTGATTTTAGAGTGAGAAGACTGAAAGAAAATGGTTTTACGGTGCACTACTATTTTAGCCAGGGGGCCCCTCTATGCAAGATATCAGTCTCTCAGACATTAGGGGAATTCACTCATTTTATTATCCTTAGTGACCCTGAATGAGTTTCCTGTCTGAGAACAAGGAGACCTCTGTGGCCTGAATGCTGGTCTGTGGAACAATAATGTGGTAAAGTTTGCTGCGTATGCCGTGTGATGGCGAACGTCTTTTTGGTGCTTCATAAAAGGGCATTACTGGCAGGAAGAACACTGATTTGCCCCAGCAAAAGAAGCCTGAGCCGGGCAAATCTTCTGCCTCTGAAACCATAAGAAACCACAATTTGAGGAGCAGCGGGTGGTCAACAGTGTCAAAAGCAGCAGAAAGATCTAATAGCAGAAGTAGGGAATAGTGGCCTTTGTTTTTAGCAGTGAGTAGGTCATTGGTGAGTTTTAGGAGGGCGGTTTCAGTGGAGTGTAGGGGGCAAAAGCCAGATTGTAAGGGGTCAAGAAGGTTGTAAGTCGCGAGGTGGCGACTTAGGCGGCTGTAGATGAGGCGTTCTAGAAGTTTGAAGGTGAAAGGGAGTAAGGAGATTGGTCTGAGATTATTGAGGTCGGTAGGGTCCATTGAGGGTTTTTTGGGTATTGGGGTGCATGAAACAGGGCGGAGGCAGAGTGCTTGTAGCTACCATACACCATCTTTTACCCAGGCATCCACAAAGACCGCAGACATCCCGCCATCTTGGATAGTGGAGGCATCCCACCATGCAGAAGAGGACTTGTCTGCAGGTTCGGAAGATTTGAAGGCCCAGGGTTTATGGTTGGACTGAGCTCCTCCCTTAAGCTTGATTTTAGAGTGAGAAGACTGAAAGAAAATGGTTTTACGGTGCACTACTATTTTAGCCAGGGGGCCCCTCTATGCAAGATATCAGTCTCTCAGACATTAGGGGAATTCACTCATTTTATTATCCTTAGTGACCCTGAATGAGTTTCCTGTCTGAGAACAAGGAGACCTCTGTGGCCTGAATGCTGGTCTGTGGAACAATAATGTGGTAAAGTTTGCTGCGTATGCCGTGTGATGGCGAACGTCTTTTTGGTGCTTCATAAAAGGGCATTACTGGCAGGAAGAACACTGATTTGCCCCAGCAAAAGAAGCCTGAGCCGGGCAAATCTTCTGCCTCTGAAACCATAAGAAACCACAGCTCCCTATATACTGAGACGCCGCAGCGTAGATGACGGGATCCGCCCAGCTGCGTGAGTGACAGCTGGCTCTGCCTATCTAGAGGCAGAGCCAGCTGTACCCGCCCCCTCCCCCGTCAGTTCCGCCAGTCGGCGCTGGCGGATCGGAGCGGGGAATCCAGCCCCTCCCCCTGTCACGGCAGAGAGCCGTGACAGGATCGAGAAGTGAGCGAACCCGGTATGTGTTCGCTCACCTCCCGATCTACTGAGCCGACCTGTGACAGTCTCATTGTCACACGTCGGCTAGAACTATGAGGCGAGTGGAAATCCCCCCCCCCTCCTAGTTCTCCTTTAAAGGCAATGGAGGGAGATATTCTGGTGAACTAGATCCGGATTAGGGCAATGACACCCGGCTACAGAAGACCTGTCAGGGCTGCACAGAGATCTGGTTATCTGTGTGGTGACGCAGGCAGGTCAGAAATGAACTGGGGAGGGGGTTGGGAGCAAAACCTTAAGCTTGTAGCCCCAGGAAACCACCTCTCACACCCATCCGAGATGGAGGCTGTCCACGTGTTCTCAAAGGCCGATTGTCCCTCCACTTTGGAAGGTGGGGGGGGGTGACCCCTCAAGATGATTTATCTAGGGGTAAGGGGATGGCCAAGATATGTGGGCAAATTGGGTGCCAGACTTTGGTATGGGCTTGGAGGTTGAGGCCATAGAGTAACAAAAGACATTTTTCCTTGGCCTTCATTGACTAGTGTGTCTTTCCACATGGAGCCCTTGGCTTTTTTTGCTCCGGGAGATGGGTACTCCTGCCACTGGCGTCATTCCTTGATGAGAGCATCCAGAGCAATCCTAAAAGTTGTTTTCCTCTTGCAAATCATAGAGTAGGAGCCTTTTGCATGCAAGCTCTGAACTATAGCTAAATAATCTTCCTTATGTACACTGATGGGAACCCTCATACAGGAGATGAGGTGGGAGACCAACAACCCGTCTATGCTGTCGCTCAAGGCTGCAGACGTGAGTTCCAATCGTTCTATGACCATAAGATCAACTGTTATAGTGATGAGATCCCTTGTAATGGCCTCAGACTAGTAAGTTACAGATTAAGGTCACAACCAAGATAGGTTGCAGCGCAGGGCCTTCAAAAGGAGAACAATGTTCTACAAACGGTCTCCAGCGGCTTAACTGTGGGATCCTTGAAGAGATAGATGCATCCTCCAATGGGATGGTGGACACTTTGTCAAGATGGGACACTGGCAGGACCTCAGAGGGAGCAGCCTACAAAATCTTCATTAAACTGGTACAGCGCTGATGGTCGCTTAGGAGGTCCGAAGAGTTTCTCGGGGTGTTTCCTGTCTGTATAGGAAGAATGCAAACATTGGGTGCCCAGAAAGGTCTTGGTAGTCTTCTGAGCCTTAAAAAGAACCTAGACTGCGGACAGTACCAGAAAAGGCTCGGGCCCACTCCTAGAGTTTAAATGGTGTGTTCCGCAACAAAAAGAGCCAAACCGATCTTTTCCAGTGTTGGAGTAAGGAACGGGAGGCTTGTCAGATAGTATGTCAGCGGCTGAAGGCTCAGACCGACCGCAGAGCTACAGATCAGTTACGTGCGTCTTCACAACAAAATAACTCAGCACACACAATTCTATTTTGCTTCGAAATTTATTTAATCGGAAAAAAAAAACAAATGTACAAAGTTATCAGCTAGAAAGGACTGACAGTCCCTCTGCCATGGAGGGCAATACCACCTCACACATCCGTTATAAGATAGAAAGGACTGACAGTCCCTCCGCCATGGAGGGCAATACCACCTCACACATCCTCTAGAAGATAGAAAGGACTGACAGTCCCTCCGCCATGGAGGACAATACCACCTCACACATCCTCTAGAAGATAGAAAGGACTGACAGTCCCTCCGCCATGGAGGACAATACCACCTCTCACATCCGTTATAAGATAGAAAGGACTGACAGTCCCTCCGCCATGGAGGACAATACCACCTCTCACATCCGTTATAAGATAGAAAGGACTGACAGTCCCTCCGCCATGGAGGGCAATACACCCTCCCACATCCTTTAGAAGATCATAGAAACGTAACACAAA